GGTGGTGTGCCTTGTGATTTTTTCAATTAAAACAGTGTACCTTGGCTCAAAAAAGGTTGAAAAACACTGGCTTAATTGGTTTGAGGTTTTTGGGAAATTGCTGCAACTGACCTTAAACTGAAATAAAGTGTGGCTTGTTTTTTTTTTTTTTTATTATTTTATTTTATTTTCTATCTACTGTATCTATGATGCTTGAGAACAAAGTTTTAATTTGTGGAAACTCTTCTGACTGACCCATGCCCGCTTTGCCGTCGGGGTAGGTGTACACCTGTCCGTTGGTCTTAATGAGCATCAGGGAGGAGGAGGAGGATGAAGAGGTGGTGAGTTGATGGCCGACTCCGCCCACGCCGAAGTCTTCATCCTCGCTGTCCTCTGGGCTGGATGCGCCGCTGCCGCCGCTGGAGTCTGAGCTGCAGCTGCTGCGGTCCTCCTCCAGGCTGTCCAGCATCCCGAAGGAGTCCTGCCGCTTCCTGGACGGACGCTCCATCTGAGGACAGACGCATAAAACAGAAACCAACTATGAAGAGAAAAGGATTTAGTCCTTCCTTAAAACTGCGATGAGAACAAAGAGCAGAGAGACGAGGAAGTTCAAACCCTCCATCCATCAAAAACCTTATCCCCAACTTCAGCATCTCTCTACTCAGACTCCATCCATACGGCCAGACAGAGATTTAAAGAGGAGTGGCAAAAGCAAAGGAGGTGGATTAGCAGTGCTTGACACCTGCTGATGGTGTCATTCAGGAAGTTTTACTGTGGAATATCGTTTCTGCTGTTTGGATACTGAGATATAAAATCAAAATTTTTTTCAAATCAGATCCGATCTCCAATTTTAATACTTTTTTTTTTTTTTTTGCTCACTTTATTTTCTAAAAATATTTTTCAAAAGTGGCTTTTATTTCAATCATCCTTCTGTGAGTTTTAAGATGGAGTTATTAGGGCCAGGCTATGAAAATGTTTAATTACAAGTCTTAAAATTACAAGAAAAAAGTTGTTTTAATGAGAAAAAAGCTTAGTTACTATAACCAGTGAAGTCTGTGTGATTCTTTCTTCAAAACAGACAGTTAATTTTATGATCATTTCAAAGTCCTTCTACTGGTAATAATTTGATGCTGATGTGTTAAAATATTTATTATCTCTAAAACTTATACCAAAATATAACTTAAAAAGATGCTCAACATTCCTCATTTTAATTTTCTATTTTTTTGTGTCGGAGTTATAATAAAATTACTATTTTATTCTCTCAGTATTATGACTTTATTCTCATAACTAAGAAATAAAAATCTCAGCCTGGCTCTAATATTTCATTTTTGACCTGAATTCAAAGACCAGAAAAACAGAAGCAGTAAAACATGCTTGTCAAACAAAATGGCCGCCCTGGGTGTACTGACATTAATCTGAACTATGGAAACTCAAGGAGTTAACCGGTGAAAAAAAATCTAAATTTACTCAAAAAATTAAATATTCAAAATATCCCCCATCCCTATTGGTTAGAATATCATAAAACTATCATACAGCAAGTCTTCAGTCAGGGGCCTCTCTAGATTTGTTGCGAGACTGACTGCTGCTGGAGAGCCCATCTTAACATTTTCATATTTTCTCACTGCTATCAGGATCAGGATCCCAACAGAAGAGTTTTTGACATAATATTGAACCTCTGAAGGTTCTTGAAATCTCAAAAAAGATCAATACAAGTGTGGATTTGTTTTTCAATGTCTGGTAGAGAGAGTGGAGAGAAGTTTGGGAATGCTAGGATGGAAGGAGATCTTCCACAGTTGCTTCATATGAAATTTAAAGTTGAGGTTGGAAAGTTGTGGCACATTCATGCATGATGGGGAGGAAAGTAGAGTGTAGGACCGAGTACTAACCCCTGAGGGATCCCACAAGGGAACATCCTGCCTGCTCTGTTTGTGCATTTTGTTCAGGAAAAATCTTAAATATTTACAGTTAAAGCAGAAATGCTAGCTTCTATTTCTGTCAGTCTAAGCTCTACGGATTGAGAGTTTTCCAGGTTTTCTTTGGATTTTTTATGCTTTTTCCCTTCAGTTTTTGAACCTGACCATGTTTTCAGTTGGGTTTTTGGATCATTCAGGTTCCTCCCTCTCTAACACTTTTGGTCCCATCGGTATGATTTATTTTAACCTCATCAGATGTTTAGATCTGTCAGACATCTGCAGCTCATTAACATCTTAATGATCAGATCTTGTTTCTGCAGCTCTGCACTGCGGTGCTCTGACTCTGCAGGACACTACACCAGACTCCCTTCAGCATTCCTCTAATTCCAGCTTCCTGCCGGTTCTGAATCCAGCTCCAAGGTTCTGGAGTTTAACTCGCAGCTTGGTTTCACTCATCTACACTCATTGCTTTATTCGGCATACATGACCCGACTCTGTAATCGCGGTATGTGCAGGAATCAGTCTGTCAGTATCGATCATCGCTGCTCTCTGGAGAAGCGGCTCGAACAAGCATAACAAAGCGGGAACAGAGGTCTGTCTCCGGGCAGAGGAGGCAGGGACTCACCGGGTCTCTGGGGGTCTCCATGGAGGCAGATCCCGCACAGGAGGCCGCTGTCTGGATCGCCTCAGCCCGCAGGAAGGTAGGTTAAAACCTAGCGGCTGACATAACAACACAATTAGCACAGCTCAGAAGCTCAATGCTGTACGCTGATTGGCTGCTGGCTCCGCTTCGTGTGTGGAGTTCAGATGAGGCGGCGATGCGTCCACCGCCACCTGCTGGACAGATTCAGAAACGCAACAACAAAACAGTTCCGCAGAAAACTACGAGGGCATAAAAGGGCCAGACAAAGATAAAAAAAAAAATAACGAAAATAAAGATATATTATTCTGAGAATGAATTAATAATATTAGTAGAATAAAGATGCTATATTACCAGAAGAATGTCGTTAAATTACTAGAAAAAGTAATTTTAATGAGAGCAAAGCATCCATTTAATTATCAAAATTTGGTGTGTCTGAATGGTTTCTTCGAAATAGTCATTTGCTCACAAGATGCTCAAAATTCCTCATTTTATTTATTTATTTTTAATCATTTTTGGTCTACTTCTCATAAAACTGTAACTCTCCTAATATTTCAACTTTATTCTCTGAATACTATGACTTTATTCTTGAATTTTTTTCTTAACACTCTGTTGTAAAGACTCAGTTGTCGTACAGAAGTGCAAATATCACAACATTTCTTGGAGATACTTCTAAATTAGCACCATAAAATCTGTGATTTTATGTACAATAAATCACCAAAACAATTTCAAGGAGGGACTGATCAATGTGAGAAGATGTTATATTATTGCATTTTAAGAAGTCTTTATCAAAAGCACACGCAGCTATTTATTAATATTTTAACAGGATGTTATTGGGTTTGTCGATACATTCTGGCGCAACCGGCCCATTGAGAACATTATTCATGCTTTTGATATGGCCCAAAATGAAAATGTGTTTGACACCAGTGCTCTAGTGTAGCGCAAACACTCACACTAAGGTGCACCACCTACTGACAGCCAGAAGATGGTGCTGTTGAACTCAGGCTGAAGTCCAGCTTCATGTGTGGATTCCTCTGAAGAACAGGATGTCAAGTCAAGGAGCAGGAGGAGGAGGAGGACATGCTGGGACTGGCAGGTCGGCCAGAGGTGGAGCCTCAGAGACAGGAACCTGTTTGAAAGATTCAGAATCAGAGAAAAACTGGACCAGGATGTTTGGATCTAACTTCTTATGCAGGTAAAACCATCTCTCTCCCTCAGGATTCAATAGGAATGTAAGATTCTAGGCTGAAACAGCACCTGAAATGCTATTAAGAAGTTGTTGGGGTTTTCCCCCTAGTGAAAAAAGTAAGATGAGGTTCTTCTGGAGTAAACCTGACTCTGAAGTTCTGTTCTGTGGCCTGGTTAACAGGGACTCTGCTGCTGAGCTTCAAGGCTGGTTCTGTCTGTGTGTTGTTGGCTGGTTTCTGTGGCCGGGTGTGTTCAGCTGAAAGAAAACCCACCCTGTTCTGATTTCAGACCAACGCTGAGCCTGAACTCGTTTCAGCTTTCAGGAGAAATTCCCGGGTTCTCCGGTACAATGCTGGACCCAGAGATCAGGAAGGTTTCATGTGTTTTCTGCTGTCAGGTGTTGTTTACCACTGGGTTCATATGGGACACGGCAACGTTCAGGAGAGGAACCGGTCCAAGCACATTTCTCTGTTCCTATGCCGCAAACACTGAATCCAGCAGAACATGGAACAAGGAAGTTCTGCTGGAAATGTGACTCCGGCTTCTGAAGCGGAGTTCCTGAAGACTCCTTACGGACCTTAAGGTCTTACTTTTTTCTCTAATGGGTCAGTCTTCTTTAATTTTTTCACATTTCAATTGACTGGACCTCAAGAATGTTTTAGAACCAGAGCAGTTCAGGTCAATATTTCTGAGCCCTCTGGCGCCTATCTGACCCGGTCACAGGGAACCTCCACCACAGCTGGTTCTTCTTGGTCCAGTTGAATCCTGCTTCTTGTTGCAGCTCTAACCATCTTTACACTGCAAAACACAAAACAAACCAAGTGTTTCTGTCTAGTTTCTCATGTAAATATTTCAGTACACCTGAAATAAGACAAAACTAGCTTACAAGTAACTTTTCAGTGAGTATAGGACCTTATTGTTTGTTAAAAATGATTTAATATTGATGAAAAAGTACTGGTTCCACTGGCTGACTATTTCACTTATAACATTGGGAAATTTTTCTTCTTATAAGTGAAATAATTTTCCAATAGAACTATTACTTTTCACATCAATTTTACGGACTTATTTACTTAAAACAAGTTCCTGTACCGTGATGAAAAGTTACTTATAAGTGATTTCTGTCTTATTTCCAGTCTACTAAGATATTTGTACTAGAAAGTGTACAAAAATTACTTGGCAAGATTTTATTTTATTTTTTGCAATATAATAACAGGTCCAACCAGGTTCTGCTGGTGGATCCAGTTGTGTTCTGGTTCTTGTCTGATCCTCCCCTCCCTGTGCTGTGTTTAGATAACCATAGGCAACCACAACAGAGAGACAAAATCCAACCGTCTTGCGAACTAGTTTCTGAGGGCCTTAAGATCCAGATTTCTAGAGGACGAAAGACATTCATGAAAATGGGAAAACTGTATTATGCAATAAAATCTAGAATATTTGTAGAATTTGTTGGCTTAGATATAAAGCATCTGGGTTTTCCATACAGTCTTGGTGAGAGTTTCCTTCTTACTGTTGAGGGAAAGAGAGACTTTACCGGTTCTGTTTTGACAGCTGTAGTTAAAAACTGAGTTTTTCCATGCTGGTTGCTCAACGATGCACGTGTTAGTGGGCAACATGGAGACTAAATGCCTTGTGCAGTGGCTGGGGGAGTCGTAATTGAATCAACAGCTTTCAGATTGGAAGTTGATTAATTTCTCCACTGAGCTTCAGGGCTCTTACCAACACTGATTTAATGGAGAGTTGAAACAATCAGATGTTTGGTGCAGATTTGGCTGTTCTGCTGGACCCGCCCTGAGTTCCTGACGTTGTAATGAGGTGTTGCTTATACAGGAGCAGTTTTTGTGTTCTGGAGAATTTGCCTTGGAGGTGGAAACTGAAAAAACTGGTTCATAGTCAGATCCCCTTCTTCAAGGCGGGATTGTACCGATTCATGGAAAACAACATTAGGAGTCCTGAAGACTGAGAACATCCCTAATGGACTCCAGACTGCAGGACACCCAAGATTAATCTGTAATCCGGATCAGATTATGAAGGTAACAGAAGGTTTTAGAGGTTATTGTTCATTCGACCAGCAGTGGATGAGAACGTGTAGCTGTCCAACCTCAGAACCATCACATGTACTAACCAACATTTCAACCAGTGGACAAGCGACTCAGTCACTGTCCTGTTTTAACCCAGAGACATCTGTATAAATAATCATTTTTCATCTCATACCTCAACTTTTTATCTACATTCAGACCTCAGAAAAAACCCTGATGTAAAAGCTATCAACGTCTGTACATAAGAAAAAGGCTTTGTCGTCTTTTCTTCAACCTGTCAACAAAATGTAGTGTGAAGAGTTGTTGAACTAAATCTAGTCCAGATTAGTTTATGATCAGTTACAGCAAAAGATCTTCATCCTGTTAAACTTTCAAATCGAACTAATCATCACTGTCACAGCATCTTTCCTTCAGAGATGCTAGAACTTCACCTGAGTCCTCAGAAACATAAGAACTTCTCTGGTTTGACCTGTCTCTGCTCTGGTTTAACGAGGGCAGATTAGTTGGCTAGTTAACTACAGTTGTCATGGTGACTGGTTGCTTTATTAGCCTTGAACTTTGACCAACAAGAAACACTCTTCTAAATGTGGTACGGCTGAAAGTCTTCAAGATGTTTCTGGGATCTTTAAAAACAACAAAAATCTCCTGGAGGTCTTGGGTTCTGTTCTGGGTGTTTGTGAGGAAAAGGTTCTGGTCGTTTTGGAGACTCCAACAGCAGCCAGCTAATGCTCTTCTGACAGACTACCTCCTTTGGTTTCAGAACCTTGGTCTTGGGGTGTTTTCACCCTGATAGTCTGGTAGATTCGGTTCGACAGTTGGACCAAAATTGCAACATTTGTTACACTTTCAGCTGGTGCGGTTCACTTTCTCACTACACTGAGTCAAACAAACCAAACTCTTGGAAAAATCTGTTCCCCTCCTTGCATGTGTTGACGCTGCACCAAAATCCACTGAAGGAAATGACACAAAACCTCTAAACAAGACATTGAGCACAACTTTCTTCTCCATGAAGCATAAACAAATTAAAGTGGTGTCAGATTTTAACAGTTGTTGGACTTTGCTTTTGTCTTTGGCAAAAGACTATGAGCCATTTCTCCCACTGGTGATAAACTCATGCGTTTGTTTTGGTTGTAACTACCCAGAATGCCCTCTGCTGTACTGTAGTCTGCTTCCTGCTTTTAGAGCAGTTTCTGGTCCTCTTGGTGTACACATATGCATTCAAACGGCACCAGAGTTCACTTCAACCAAACTGAGGCCTTGGTTTGTAGGCAGACTATAGTTCAATTAAATATTCACATCTACCCGAACGAACTGGACTTTCTGGGCAAACACACCTTTAGACTGCGAGGTTAATTGGGCTTTCTTAATAATTTAGCAAGGATTGTCTGTCCTATTTGTCTTTGTGTTGCCCTGCAATGGACTGGAGACAAGCCTCACATGGACCCAACAAAATAATAGGTAAAGATAATCACCAGCCTCCCAGTGACCCTACAAAGATGATGATGGATGGTGGTCTTTTGATTGGTGTAGAAGATCAAAAGTAGGTTACAAAGATGAGACTTTGCAGACAATGTTTAACAAGGTTCATCTTGATGATGGACATCTGACCCAACGGTTGAACGGTTCAGGAATGGGTTGTAGTTTTAACTCAGCTTCTTGGCTTCTTCTGGAGTTTTGGATACACGAGTAGGTCTTGTTGACCTTTGGGGTTAGTTTTTGAATCATTTTAAGTACTTCAGCAGGTCTGTGGAGATTCCACATTGGTCTCGGTGCTTTTCTGTGAGATTTAGGAGGTCTGATTATGTTTATGTCCATTGGAAGAGTTTTCTAACAGATAGTGTATTTTAAAGGGAACTGAACAGGAGTCAGAAGGTGTTTTTAGGTTGGAAAATCTGAGAGGAAAGTGTGAAGATCTCCTAGAGGTTTTTTTTATTAGGGTGTTTGTCATAACCCAGAACAGGTTTGACCAATATCTATGCTTAAAAGGCCTAGAGGGATTGAAGAAATCAGGAAATGAAAAACGGAGGACTCTTGAGGCCCTGAAAACTGGAGGAACCATGTTGAAGAAAGATCTGCTGGAAGTTTCCAAGTTCTAGAGAAGAACTTCACAACAACAGAAATATACATTTCTGAGCAAATTTTAGAACGAACAGGTGAATCTGACACCTGAACTGCTCTGCTCAGAGACTTCCAGAGTCATCTCATCTTTCCGTCTCTGAGCTGATCATGTGTCGGATAGTAAACGTGTAACTCGGTGTCATGTCGACTCCGTGTGGTCGGACTTTCTCAACATTCCTGTTTGTTTTCCAGTGTTGTGTAGGAAGACTCGGCTGAAGGATTTATGAGCTCAACCCGGTTATTTCTGTCCTGAGCGTGACCACACCCACACTCACCCACAGGGTAAAGGTTGGGTTTCCGACAGATGTACTCTGCTCTGATTGGCTACTGGGTCTATGATGTCACATGACACATTGTCATTGTGGATCCCACCATGTTGTAGGAAACGATCCTCTGCAGGAATGTTTGCTCTGCTCTGATTGGTCGATGTTCCAGCCACAAACCTCGACCTTGGTCTGATGATTGACAGCTCTGTTTATTTTCTGCTTGCAGAGGGCAGTGTGTGTGGGTGTATATGTGTGTGTGGGTGGGTGGGTGTGTGTGAGTTACATGGCAGTTTGCTGAAGGGAAGCGCTGTGTCATGCAGACAAACAGTGAGTGAGAGAACAGAGTGAGAAGTGGCTGCTTTCCAACATGGAGTCTCAAACACACCTGAAGCAGATCAGATCTGAGTCCAGATTCTTCAGAAGGTTCTGGTCGATTTCAGTTCAACTGGTGATCCAGGATGTTTTAGAGTGAATAGTGAAAACATCAGACTGATTGGATGGATGGATGGATGGATGGATGGATGGATGGATGGATGGATGGATGGATGGATGGATGGATGGATGGATGGATGGACAGAGGGTTAGAGAAATGGATGGATAGATGAATAGATGACTGAATGGTTGAACAGAGGAATGGTTGGAGGAATGGAAAGAGATGATGGATGGTTGGGTGGATGAATGAATGGATGTTAAACAGATGAATGGTTGGATGGATGGTTGGTTGGATGGATCAATGGCCTCCAAATCCTGTGGACTGCGGTCCAACCTAACAATAGGACTCTACTTCAATGTTGTTTTGACTTCACCTTAGTCTTGGGGCCCCTTTTGATTACAGGTCATTAAAATCGACCAGATCTCACATTTGATCACATATGAATCAGATTTCAGTCTCTCTAGAGTCTGAATCTTCTGGTCGGACTATTGTTCCTCCACAAAGACAGGAAACGCACGACGTGATGTCATCAAGGGGTGGTGTCCACATATCAATGTAGGCGGGGCTTAGAGCTGACAGGAAGAGCAGGACTTCCCTTAGTAAACAGAGCTGGCGTGGAATCAACCTCCTGTCATTGTTCTGTGAGACAGAGTGCCTGGCTCGGAGGCAGCCGGGCAGGAAAACTCAGAGAGGAACATTCCAGTGCTGGAGATGGGGCTTCTCGCTTTCTAGCAGGATCCAGGCCAAACGTTGTCATCATGATCAGCTGCTGCAGCTGTTCCTGTTTCTTCAGAGGTCCAACCTTTGTCCAAGACCTGAAGGAATGTGGAGAAATCGGGAAAATCTGTCAAACACAAAACAGCAGCTGGGTTTTTAACTCGGCATTTTGTTAGCATTAGATTAGCCGCCAGTCACAAGTTTGCAGGATAAAAGTCAGAAATTGCTCTACAAAACAAAATAAATACTAAAAAGTGTAAAAGAACAGCAACCATGAAATAAAGAAATTATAAAAGATGCTAATGTCAACTAAATAGTTTAATCTTATTCTCCAATCATAATCCAAAGAGAGCCTGAGAACCAGAACCGCCACCCGGAGGCGAGTCTCAGCTGAGCTGCGTTTCTGAAGTCAGGAGGAGGTTAGCGTGTTCAGACGGGTTCTGACATGAAGAACGGCTTGTTGCTGTCATTCCTGACGGGTTCTGTGTGCAGCTGCTGTTACTCGAGGAATCCTGAACAAAACAATCATCAGCTGTGCTGTTCTGGTTCTGGGATCTGCTGTTTGTTTTAAATGTTCTGGTTCAGTCTTTATGAGTTCTGAATCAGGAGGTCCTCAAGGAGTGAGCCATAATGAACTGTGGGTCCAGAATGCCTCGGAACCAAATACAAAAAAAAAAATAAATGAAAAAATGAGAACATGTAGAACTGACCAGAAATCGTGACAGAGCTTTCTAAGTGTAAACTTGTCTTACAGCTTATTAGGCATAAATCTGAGGGCGTTTTAACACCTGGTAGAATTGGTTCGACTGCTACAAACAGTTCAGAAATTTTTGGATCTTTTAAATTTTCTAGAAAAAAAATGAAGAAATTTCTGACTTTGAAAAGTTTAAAAATTGCTAGAAAAGCTTAAAACTCATATGTTTAAAACATCCATGTTTTCCCTTAAAATTTCTGATGATCTGAAAATTTAGTTTTCTATTTTTTTTAAACAAATATTCAACATTTCAAACTCAGAAATGTCCAAGATTTTTTTCTAGAATATTTCTGAGATTAATCTCAAAACATTTCTACTTTTTTCTAGAAATGTTTTGACTTTTTAAACTGGGAAATTTCAATGTGTTTTTCAGAAAATTCTGAGTTTTTAATTTTTGGCAGAGATGTACTCTTTTTTTCCCCCACGCTGTCTACAATTGCCCTAATACGGCGTAGTAGCTGCAGTTCCTTTTGTCAAACCAACCAAACCTTTAACAAACCTGTTCCCCTCCTCGCATGTGGGGGGCGCTGCACCACCGATACAAACACCTCAGAAAAAGACACTCAGAGCAACTTCCTTCCTCACAAAATGTAAACAAAAATGGAGTAACTTTTGATTTTAGTAGTTGCAAGATTTCCTTTTTGTCTTTGGCTAAATACTACGGGCCATTTCTCCTGCTACCGCTAGACGAGCGCGTTTGTTTCGGTTGTGTTTACCCAGAATGCCCTGCGCTGTAGTTCACTTCCTACATTTGGAGCGCTCTTTCATCCGCTTGACCTTCACATGAATTCGAACCATTCCAGACTTCAGCCGAACCGAGACCGAGGTTTGTAGGGACCTGAGTTTGCATTTTTGGTCCGCCGGTCGCCTTGGGGTATTAAACAAAGGTCTGTTTTCAGTCGGGTTTAATTATTAGAAAGAAAAACCACGCAAAAAACGTATTTCAGCTAAAAAATTGAAATTGAGTATCAAAATTTGCTGTGTGAAGGATCCTGGCTCACAATCCATGAAGAGGTGGATCAGAACCAACATATCTGAAAATAAGATGTTTTAGTTGATAATTTACAGTTATCAACTGTAAATTGATAACTTGATATCAATTTACAGAAGCTAAATAATTTTTCAGATTATTTAGCTTCTGGATTGTTGGATCTGTTGTCGCTAATTTCATGTTCTCTCCTTTTAGGGCCGCTGAGAATCAGCGGTGACCTTTGACCCCTCACCTTCAGGGCCGTCTATCTGAGGGGGCGGGGCCTGGGGAGATCAGGGAGGGAAAAATGGCAGCGACCTCCAAGGTGCCGAGCAAAGGTGAGTGTGTTAGTCATGTAGAAGCAAACCGGACCCAAGAGGTTCTGACCGAGCAGGTTTGTAGAAAAGGCCTAAATGCAATCTAACTTTCCAGGTCTTGGTCTGGTTCTGGTGGAGTTTGAGTATGAGTACAAAGATCAGAACGGGGTTCTGGTCACCATCAAACCCAATGAGCGCTACGTCCTGCTGGCCAAGACCAACGACCACTGGTGGCATGTCCGGAACGACAGCAGCTCCAAAGCCTTCTACATCCCGGCCAAGTACGTCAAGGAGTTACCCACCGACTTCCCGTCCCTATTGGACTTTGCTGACAAACCTGGTCCAGATCCGGTCCCTCATCCTGTGGTGGCTCCAGTTCCTGTTCCTGTTCCTGTCCCGGTTCCAAAGAGTCTGGAGGAGCCTGGAGGAAGCAAAACCAAGCAAAATGATGAGGTGACGATCCGCCTCAGACCCGACACTTCCAACCGGCACCACCGCAATGAGAACCGCATGTCCACTTTCGGCGTACCTCTAGACTTACCGGACCTGGCACATGTATCGCCGAGGGTCCGTACAAACCACTCTGCTGGTGCTGCTGAGACCGGAACCACAGCTTCCACTGGAACTACAAACATGGCTGACAGTAAAAAGCAGCCCCACGTCAAGGGGCACCATGAGGACCAACAGGATTCTGGGAAACCGCGGGTTCCCAGCTTCAGTCCGGCAGACCCGCGGACATCCAGCCGGCACCAGAACCAGCCCATCCATGTGGAGATGCCCGTGGTTCCCCCTCACAGCAAAACGTCTGAGGGTCGTCATGACAACAAGCAGCAAAAAGAGGAGCCAGAGGAAGAGGAGGAGGTGCCTGAGGAGGCAACAACATCAGAGAGCAGCGAGGAAGAGGAGGAGTGTCGAGGTCACCACATCTACGAGTCCATCCAGGACCTGAATCTGGACCTGGAGGCTCTGAGCCTCCAGAAGGCTCCATCAGCAGCACCTGAGTCCTCACTTCCTGCTGCGGCTCCGCCCTCCTCAAAGGTAAGATCTGCCCACTTATTCTGCCTCCTGCCTGATTTAGGTTTTAATTTTCCAGACATGTTTCTGGTGATTCAGGTTTCAGAAACGTTTTCATCCACATCCACCCTGAGCATTGTTTTAAACACTCCAAGCCTGTAGGGGGCAGTATAGTGCTAAGCTAAAACCTATATCAGCCAATCAGAATGCTTCAAAACAACCCAACTTCCTGTTAGGAATTAAACATGGCCACCGGGGGTTTATTTGTGTGGACTGAAATGAAGTTTGAACTACTTTTAATTCGAGTATTTGAATATAAAGATAATTAAACACAAGACAATGTCAATTACTAATATAATGGTGCATTATTTGTTGTAGACTGTAATTCACGGGATCTTAAATCTCCATTTTTTGCACATCCACATACAAACACAAATCTCAGATTTTCTCAAATCTCTACTCCGATCTGCAGCAGTTTTTAATGATGCATTTAAAGTTGCTGTTTCAGTCGGACCTGATCAGTAATCACTGCAGGTTGGTCATTGGTTTGTGAGCTGATGTCACATGACTCTGTCAGCCAATGGCCTTCTGCAATGTCAGTAGCTTTGATTGGCCATGTGGGAACATTGTGGCACATCTTTTTTCTGTCGTCCTTGAACACATCCTGACCCAGACAGGTCCTTGAATGCAGCACGCGTGCTGAGATTGAAGATTTAGTTCCTGTGTGTGTTTCCTGAATGATCCTGATTTCCTGTTGGAATCTGGAGGAAACAAACCGTGTGTGCTGCTCAGGTCAACATGGCTTCGTTGGATTCTTTTGACCTCCTGATCAGCAGGATCAGAGTTGATGTTCTGGACGTTTCATCTGCTGCAGCATGAAAAACAGAGCCTGATGTTCAGAGGCTGCTGGTCTCCCTACAAAATAAAATCTCTGTGCAGCCGTGGCTTGTTTCCTGCAGCGTCGGCACAGGAAGCTGGAAGCAGAAAAAGCTGTTTCCTCTTTTTATTCTCCTCAGAGCAAAAAAAACAAAACAAAAAAAACTGCTGAGGTTTTGCTGTTTAACCCTAAACTGGCTTCGTGTTATTCTGGTTCTGCTGTGGATTTATCTAGATGTTTATCATGAATTTAAAGATGAACCAAGTCAACAACAGAGTGTGATTTATCCGCTGCTGTTTATGTAGTTTTTCTGATCCAGTCAGAGCAGGATGTTTGTAAGGATGAGCAAGTTCTGGATGATTCTAGCTCTGCACCTGGTTCTGGACAAGTTCAGGGTCTCGGTGTAGAACGTCTGATGTCAGAACAGGATGTGATGAGGTCAGGTGGAAGCAGTGATGTCACAGCTGACAGGAAGAGGACAGACAGCGTGAGGCAGCGGTGACGGTGCAGCGACACCTGCAGGTCAGAAGGGGAACAGAACCAGAACCCAGAATGTGTTCTCTGAGTAAAACGCTGAAAGCTGCAGAACTTCACCTCCCAGCTTCATTCAGCCGGTCTTAAAGATGGCATGTGTTGCATTGTGGGAAACTGAGTCAAAGCTTTCTCTACTGCCAGTTTTCTTTTTATTTCCAAATGCTTCTGAGGAGTTAATGATTCTGAAGGAAAATCTAAGGGAAGTACAGTTATTTTACCCCAAAGTTCCCAATATGGAAACAAATAATTGTATATTAGCAGAACTTTCTAAATTGACAAATATATATCTTAATCAAATGAAATTATATTGTTGTAATCAATGACACATCTTTACTATATTTCTTATCAAGTAGGGAAAAATATGAAGGAAGAGATCTGTAGTTAGTATTTTTCTTAACAAGTTGACATACCATAAAATGATCATTTTAACAAGCGCTTCTCCTAACGAGCTCTTAACGAGTTGTCCTTAATGAGCTGCCTCAGCTAAATCTCTGGTTTATGACTAGCTTTGTGTAAAGTTCTGTTTTCTTCTGATCTAAATTTGCTCCATGTTGATGTGTTTACCTCCAGTTGGTCTGATTCCAACTGATCACTGATTAGCTCATTTCCTTTATTGATTCACATGACGATCTTTGGACTCGGACAGTAGGTCACCTGGTTTCGCCTGTATCTTGGACCTGGAGTTGTTTATGAGATTCCCAGTGGATCCACCAGGGCTGTTGCTGTAAATCAGCTGTAGTGGGGCAAACATTTATTACCTTTCCGGGTATCTGTACAGGGATTTCCTTCCAGCAGCAGGACCAAAATCTTCCTGGTCAAAGTTCTGTCACTGCTGATTGGTGGATGTTCTGCAGCTCTTCCTGGTCAGCCTGAACTAGGTCAGAGCATGTTCTGTTTGATCAGTTAATGAACGGACCTGCTATTGACTGGACCAGTTTTTGAGTGGAACCAGTTATTGACCTGATCATCTATTGAATGGACGAGGTATTGAACTGACTCACTTTTACCAGGCTATCAACGGAGCGGATCAGCTTTTGACCGGAAAAACTATTGACCATCCCAGCTATTGACTGGACCAGCTATTGAGCGGACCAGCTATTTAGACGATTAGGTATTGACTGGATTAGGTTTTAGTGGTACCAGTTATTGACCTGACCAGTTAGTGACCGGTGCAGTTATTGACTGCACTAGCAGTTAAACTGACCTGTTTCTGGAAGGACTGGTTGTTGATTGGAGCAGTTACTGGGAACTGTGGATTCAGATGATGATGGTGTTCCACTGGGAGATTGATATGAAGGTGAGTGACTTCAGATAAGATCTTTTTCTGCTCATCATGACCATGACTCATTCTGGTTCTTGAGCTATGTCTTTGGACCCTGCTGAAGAACTCAGATATAGATTTTGCTTTTAACAACAGCAGGGGGCAGCATAATCAAGGTCAACCAATTATGTTCGCGCTGTTATTTGTAAGATCTCACATGGTCCAAAAGGTCAAGAGATCAGATAAATCAGAGTTAAGGAGAACCTACGAGAAGGTTTTTAGGTTGGTGATGAAAGATGTGACTTTATGAAGACTGATGGGATCATCTGTGTGAAACCAAGTACTTTCAGATCTCCAGCAGCTGGTTCTCAGTGGCAACCAGAAGCTTCCTGAAGGCAGTAAACAGACTGCAGCTCCCTGAGGATCTGATTGCGCTGATACTACATGTTTGTGTTTTCAAGATGATCAGATAGCTTGTAACATGGGGCAGAAGGGAAACATAGGCAGGTCTGAGGAAGTCTCCAACACAACTGTGACAAACCCCAAAAAGGTTCACTTAGAATGCTGTTGCCTCACTTCGTCACATGGTTGCGGTACATTAGCATTTCGACATTGTTTTCATACATGGCGCAGGATCCCTAGATCTTCCTTTTACTTTTATGAAACAGTCACAGACAGAGCGCCACCTTTCTGCAGACAGCCTCCTGACAACGGCGTTGCAGTTTCCATCCAGGAGCTTTTAGCCATTTGACAATCTTTGTAATTATTTAGTGAAGAATTGTACAGATGTAAATAATTCCTCACCGTTTCGGATAAAAACAAAAATATTCGTGTCATCTGCAGTCACAGAACAGAAATTGGATAGTGGAAGCAGAAGTACTAGCACTGCTGTCACACTTCACACAAAGACGTAACAAAGTAGTTTGACCCGGGTCTATTGTTGAGAAAAGATCTTGATGATGCAATTTTTGTCACACAATTGTCAATAAGAGCCATTTTTGACGCTGTGGACCAAGTATATCTGGAAAACAGTGAACCAGCGTAGGTGGAGGCTTGAAGGGTTGTCTCCAAAAACAAAATGGTGGCAGGACTTCAGTTTGCAAAGCTGCAACGAATGTAGTTCTGGGACATTGTCCACTGGACAGATAAGACCAAAGTAGAGATCTTTGACCATAATGCAGAGAACCATGTTTGGAGAAAACCAAACCCAGCAGATTGGCACACACACCTTCTGCAGCAAAGCACGGCGGTGGATAGGTAGTGATTTGGGCTTTTTTGCAGCTGCAGGACTCAGGACTTGGTTCAATCAAGACTGACAGTTTGGAATCTTTTCTGTGTTTTTGTTCATTTAACCTCAAAATGTTGATGGAGCTCCATGTCTCTGTGAGGCAGATGTTTGAAGAGATTCTGGTTCTTTGGAGCATTTTCACATTTCCATGAAGGTTATATAGGAGATGTAAGATTCCTGGGTGAGTTCTTGGAAACAATCAGCACTTAACTTCCAGGAAGACTTTTTGGACAATGAATGAGAGTCAAGTTCAGACAAATCCTGAAGACCTAAAGCCTAAAAAAAGTGACATTGCCTATGGTTCAGTAGGGGCGGGACTTAAGTTCACAGGAGAATAGAGAGGGGGCGGAGCTACAACTGGTAGAGCCGTTGAGTCTGGCAGCATGACCCAGCTCCACTGCAGGCAGATCAGAGACAGGATGAGAAGTTTCCTGATGGAGGTTAATGTATCCCAGACCTCAGGACAAACACAGAGGGATGCTGACAGGTGAGTCGACTTCCTGTTGGGCTCTCCTTGGTTCAGCTTTAATCCATGCTTTTTGTTTCTGAGAGCCTCAGTCTGCAGCTGCAAACAGATCCGGCAGAAAGTCTGGACTTTGTACCAGGCCAGGAGGGATTTACTGTTATAGAGCGAAAACTGAGACAAACTAAATGGTGAGCTGCTGTAGCTTTGCTTCATCGCATGACCCACAACAACAGAAGGTAATTGAAGTATAAAGTATGGAGTCACAGATGGAGAAGCTAATCTTCTCAGAAGCTGTTTGGTTTGAAGTTCTGATCAGTTTGAGTGAAAATGTGAAGTTCCTGTTTGGGTTTCTTGAGTTAAAACCGCATGGAGATATTCAGTCAGCTCTTACCATTTGATGAAAATGGGAATAATTTGCTTCTGTGTTTATACAACATGGGAGGAGTTCTTCCTGTTGGTCTGCAGCTCCATCCACCCAGGCAGACAGAGATCCCGCTCAGAACAGGATTTTTCTGCAGCAGTTGAGAAAAACTCCACTTCAAGCTTTGATTTTCTCCATAAACATCATGTTAAACAACAGAACTCAACAGAAATGTACATGTTTGCTCAATTTTCTGCATCTGGAGATTAAATATCAGTTTTTTTTAGAACCAGAACATTTCAAATGGACAATTTAAGCATTTAATCAGGTGCAGTTCAGAGCAGTTGACTTAGAGTTTCAGCAGAGCCACTCAGAGTAGATTAAGATTGCCATGATATATGCAGCTCAGTATTCAGGGACAGAAATTATATTCCACAGAAACACCATCAGGTGTTGGCATACACTGCTAATCCACCTCCTTTGCTTTTGCCACTCTTCTTTAAATCTCTGTTTGGCCGTCTGGTTAGAAAGATGTTGGAGTAGGGGATACAATAGTTGCCCTTTATGATAGATGTAGGAGATGAGTTGAATTTTCTTCTCCTCTCTCTGTGCTTTGGTTCTTGGGGTTGTAGTTCATTTGAGCTTTTGAGTTACTAATTAGTTGTTCCCAGCTGTAAAATAAATATATTAATGCCATGGTTACACATCATAGTTACTATTCAAAGCAAAAGTCTATTGAAAGAATTGAAGCAACTTGCTGCCACCACTATTCTAGGAACAGCTGATGCTCCCAAGCCTTCTTCACCTCATGTTGGGGTTTCATGGTGCATACCAGGAGAACTACTGGGAGAACTGGGAGATAACAGTGGACTCTATCAAAACCTGAAGGGCAAAGAGAGTCAAACAAAACTAGACTGACCGAGTTCACCTCAGAGAGAGGCAGTTTTCTTGCATTCCTGAAGCTGTGGGTTTGATTCCATCTTTTTTTTTTCACTCCACATAGCCTCGCAGTTGTGCACTGGTCTGTGTATTTATGAATGTGTGGACTTTTTAAGTTGGGCTGGGTGAATAAAGCTCCGGTTGAACATAGTAGGGCAACATATTTACAACTTAAACGTGGGATTCACCAAATGAGAAGATTCCTGTTGATAAGCAATGATTAAAACCTGTTCATTTTACCCTCACAGAAAATGGGAAGATGTTGTTTGAGGAAGATTGGTTCTGGTTGAGAGATCAGAATGAAAATACCTGAACCGCTGGGATCACAGCTTCGTCAATGAGTCAAGTCAAGTTTGTTTATGTAGCACATTTCAGCATCAAGGCAGTTCAAAGTGCTTTACGGCATAAAAACATAATACAGATACCAATTATAAAATGGCACCAAGGTGACCTGATCCCCGTTTGGTGAAACTAAAACTAACGGTGTTTCCACACCTGATAGTCCGATAGACTTGGTTTATTGGGGAAAGTTGCAGCATTTGTTACATTTTCAGCTGCTGGGATACGTTTTTACTCTGCATTGTCTCAAACAAACCACAACATATGAACAACCAGTTCCCCCCCTCGCCTGTGGTGGCGCTGCACCAATAATCAGTGAAGGAAACCACAAAAACGCATTGAGCTTTACTTCTTTCATCACAAAATGTAAACAACAGTGGAGTTACATCAGATTTAATAGGTTGTAATATTTATCTTTTGTCTTTGGCAAAAGACCAAGAGTCATTTCTCCTGCTAGCGCAAAACTCTTGTTTGTTTTTACCCAGAATGCCTTGTGCTGTAGTTTGCTTCCTGCTTTTGAAGCCGTCTTGGTAACACTTTATTTGTAGGGGTGTGCATAAGACTGACATGACACTGTCATAAACATGACATAACACCTGTCATGAACATAAAGAAGTCTTTATGAATGTTTATGACAGTTGTCATGAAGTGTCATTCTGTAAATAATGGCACTTTTCTTTCTCTCTCTCTGTCTTTCTTTAGGAGCAAAGCTCGCTCTCCCTTAGTTCGCCCATCTACGCCAACGTCTGCTCCCTCAAGAAAACTTCTACTCCTCAGATCCCCATCTCCTCCCCAACTAGTGTAGACCCTGACCAATCGGAAGGAGGCCACGCCCTCTTATCTATAAGCTCCTCCTCCAGCATGATAAGCCCCGCCTCTCCTCTCAGCCCACAAGACAAATGGCAGGTGAGATAAAGACAAATGACTGTGGCACATTAAAGAAGCTGCTGGTGGAAATGCAGAAAAATGGTAACAAGTAGAGGATTTAAGGAAAAATCTGTTAAATCTGATTAAACTTGGAAGTTTTCTGTTTTGAATACAGCTTGAGTGTAAGCCTCCTGTGCGCTGAGTTCGTGTTACACGGAAATAATTAAAGTTTAATCAGATGTTACCTGAGATCATCAGGTTTCCTCTGCAGGGATCAGGTGTTAATAAGGAACACGTTTTACTCAGACATGTCAGTAATGAGACGCCCCTGTCCCTGCGTCAGACTAGTTTATCCAGGAACCTCAGTGAAGTTGGACTCCACCTTCTGCAAATCAAACAAAATTTGTGCGCCTCTATCATTTTAAAGATATTAATAAATGTTTTCTGAGGTCATCAAAGGTCAACCAGCCCCCATACATTTACAAAATAAAAGGAAAAGGAATCAATTTTAATAATTTCATGACATTCTGAATATTAATATAAAGTGTAGAATGATGGTATGTGCCCCTGTTTGCTCAGGTTTACACTGATCAGGAGAGCGGCAGGAGGTTTTTTTACCACCCTTTGACCAGACAGACCACCTGGTCGGACCACCGAGGCCAAACGCCAGCCGGAGACATGGACCTGTCCAGTCCGCTCTCCCCGGCCTCCTCTAAGGTACCACAGCTCCTCCCTGATCGGTAACAGCAGGCGGTCCTGGTGTCTGACCCAGTTCTTCTTCCTCTCAGGGTTCCTGTGAGTGGGAGGAGCTGCTGGACGAAACATCGGGACGAGTCTACTACCACAACCATAAAACAGGAACCACATCCTGGGCTCTCCCTGACCCAACTTCCCCATTATCTCCTGCTGGATCCACAGGCAGCAGAAACCAGGACGACGTCCAGGTACGAGCCTGAGATTATCCTGGATTACTTTAGTTTAAGAACAGTTGGCATGAGAGGTTTATCTTTGAAACAGGGTGTAGTCTGGACTTGGCTTACAAAGGGGATTTATTATGCAAAATTCACATTTTGCAAATTTTTGTACTTCCATTTTGGGTCTGAACTGCCTCTGAAAAAACCACACAGTTGTTGTTTGGCAATAAGTTCATGTTTTTTTTGTTTCTGGGAAAATGAGCCACTTCAAATACCTTCAGAAAGTTACATCACAAATCAGTAGGCACTGGTTCTGACCTAGCAACCCCAGCTCGTTACCTAGCAACCTGTTCCACCTGTGACCTAGCAACCCCAGTGGAGCTTCACTGGGGTTCTGGCCCTCTGTACAATGGCTGCTGGAAAAGACAAGTGTTTTGTTGTTCACTTACCATCCAGAAACCACTTGCTACATTCTAGTTGGTTGTGCAGGAGGTTCCACTTCTGCTTTTCAAAGATGTACAGATGTATATTTGCGCATCTGTTTGCAGCCATTTTTACATGAGAGTGTAAATGTTGAGTTGGGGGGCGTGGCCAGCAGCAGCTTATTTGGATTTAAAGTGACAAAAGGCCCTAAAACAGGTCAATCTAACCTGATCAGGATAAAATCTCATTATCTAAGAATGCTTTTGTCCAAAAAATATAATAAACATATTTTGTACAGACCATAGACATATCTTAACCTGTTCAAGGAAGCATAATTGAGCATCTTTAATGATTATTTGTTTGATGGTTTGAAGCCTCCTCTACCAAAGCCAGATTATCCCATGGACAGACACAACAACAATGAAGACTCTGTCTTTACGGTACGAAGGAATTTCAGAGTTTCCCAGTATTCCCTGCCTTTCTCTGGTTTGACCTCCAGTTTGTGTTCTCAGCAGCTCCCGCAGATTCCCAGAGACCAGCTGGACGGCCAGCAGAAGCAGCAGGAGGTGAGTAGTCACATCACAGGAACATCAGTCCTGTCTTCCCAACAACCTGCTGAGATCAGGTGGTTCTATTGTGTTGCAGCAAAGGCTGATGAGTAATGGAATCCCTGCGGAGGGAGGAGCTTCACAAGTCAGGATCATGAGACACAGTGTTGCTGAAGATGTGAGTGAAACATGTTGATCCAGAATGGTTCTGAGGTGTTCTTCCCTAACATTCCCGCTGTGTTCCAGATGTTTTCTCCGGGACACAGAAGGATATCCTCGGACCTCACGGACGCTTCCAGGAAGCATTCGCCTGACAGTCCGCAGGTACAAACTCACCTGTCTCAGTTCCCTATCCCCATTAGGCCCTCACAGACCTGTTCATTGATCTTCTGACCCATTTCATCAGATTTTTCTTGACTTGTTTATTCATGTAACAGTTTGTTCAGCCATTCATTGACTCATTGACTAAAGCATACATTAATTTCCAGACTCGCTCATGTGTTCACTGACTTCTTGATTTGTTCATTCATCCGTCGACTCATCCCATTATTTCCTCCTTCCAGTTTCATAGTAGGCTCAAGCTGAGGAGGAACCTGTCCAACAACAGCACAGTCAAACCCCAGCGCCATGTAGGTTCTGAAAGGCTGGTGGAAGTTCAAGGCGCCGTAGCCAAATGTACTAACATTTGTTCTAACATCTCTTTTTCTTTTTTACCAGTAGGGAACTTTTTGGGCAGCTTAGACGTCCTAGCGCCTCATGCTGTGTAAACGCAGCACTGCGGCTCTAATCTAAAATATTTTTAACCAAAGAAGTTTGACCCGAATTCCTTCTGAAAATGTCCATCTCTGGCAGTAAGACTTTTGCCCAGAAAGTTTCTGAGTGTTTTCCCACTAATCCAACTAACCGCCCATCAGTAACCATTCATCCTGTCAGCTAACAGTTCTGAACTGCTGGATTTGTTCTGATGTTGGTTCTGCTCTTGGTTCTGGAGGGTTTGTTTGGTTTCTCCAGTCAGGCTCTGTTTCATTCAGCAGTTTGGTCCAAACTGAATAACAAAGACTACATGTACCATCAGAACTCTGGTTCACCCTGAGGGAACTCCAACATGTCCTTCAACATCCAACATGTCACTCACCATCCAACATATCACATACCATCCAACATTTCTATCAACATCCAACATTTCTATCAACATCCAACATTTCTATCAACATCCAACATGTCACTCACCATCCAACATGTCACTCACCATCCAACATGTCACTCACCATCCAACATGTCACTCACCATCCAACATGTCCTTCAACATCCAACATATCACATACCATCCAAAATGTCACTCACCATCCAACATGTCCTTCAACATCCAACATATCACATACCATCCAACATGTCACTCACCATCCAACATGTCCTTCAACATCCAACATATCACATACCATCCAACATTTCTATCAACATCCAACATGTCACTCACCATCCAACATGTCCTTCAACATCCAACATGTCACTCACCATCCAACATTTCAATCACCATCCGACACGTCCTTCAACATCCGACACGTCCTTCAACATCCGACACGTCCTTCAACATCCGACACGTCCTTCAACATCCGACATGTCCTTCAGCATTCTTAAACATGTTCCTCAGCATCCAACATATGTAGAAATATCCTACATATCCCTCAACCTTCCACATGTCCCTTCACATCCAACATGTCCAGCAAAACCCAACATGTCCATGACATTCACCAGCATCCAAAACATTGCAGAACATGAAGATTAATTAGATGGGAGAGAAGTAAAAGGGAAAAAGAAAAAACTCTTTGTTGTTTTATTCACTTCTTTAAAATTAAAAATAACAATAAAGATGTTTATTTCAAGATTTTAACTCATCAGCTCTTTCACTTCTCTATTGATATTAAAACATGAATGACTCAGGTCGTTCCTCCTGCTTCCATACCACTTTTGCTTCAGACATAACCTTGATGTAAATTTTACATCAATCAGAGGTTTTGTCCCTTTCAGAGCTGCTTTTCCTCCAGCAGCTATGAAGACCTGAAGTCTGACACTTTGAAACTCCTACAGAGATGTTTCCTAAAGGCTGAGCTTCTAATTCACAGAAACCTCTCTGTAATTTGGCTGTTTTCCTTATTCTACTTTTGTTTTGCCTAAAGCACAACATTTAAATCCTGAAGGCCTTTTTCAATCGGATCACCTCAGGCGGCAATAAATCCTACAGCATTTATCTCTAGCACCAACCTAGACTGGTTTTGGCTTATTGTTAAGCTACATTATGCTTTTCTAAAGGTGAGGCTCTGATAAACCTTAAGGAGTCTAGAAGTAGCGTTAATAAAGATTTGGATCAAATCCTTTGCTTTGAAATTGTTCTAAGTTCCTGAATCAGTGGGAAAATGATACCAGAAGGGAGCAGACTGCTGAATGAAGGGACTGAGGTGGATAAAAGTCGTCAGGTAGACTCAGGTAGACTCGGGTAGACTCTCACTCTCCACTCCCATGTTTACCAAGGAGTCACATTTCAAAGCTGACCTGCAGAAACATGAGAACTCACCTCTTTCTCTCTGTCTCTTCAGGGCCATCTGCTGGAAAAGGCAGGAATTGTTAACAAGACCAAATTGGTTGATCATGGCAAAAAGATGAGGTGAGATCCAGAGACTTCAGTTTTGATTCTGCCTCAGTTTGACTGGTCTGTGTATGGGAATTTGTTTGAGTGATGTTTGAACTCAGAGATGATTGTTTTCTATATTTGATGTTTCTGTTGAACAGGAAGAACTGGACTCAGTCCTGGACCGTCCTCCATGGTGGGATTCTTACTTTTCACAAAGATCCCAAATTTTCCCCAGCTGGAAACACTGTAAGAACCATCCTGACAGTCCTGATCCACCCAACCTTTCTTATGACTTCTCTGTGTGTAACTTGATCTCATAAGTCTGGACCATAAGTTCTGGATACTTTATTAAGGTTGTTTGGAGCTTTCTTTAGACTGTATTAGGCCATTTTCAGTCCAGCAATGCCTCATTTACATTGAGCAGCATAGGTTGGTGCATTTTGTCTGTTTCCATTGTAAAATTGGCCCATAGAACCAAATTGTACCACACCATTTCTGGACCCCTTCAGTTGTAGGACCATAAGACAATGGTATGGCACGGTTAGGGTGCAGCTACTGGCGTCACACAACCCCATCCAATGATCGGGAGACAGAAAAACGTCACAGCTTGAATCACGTTTGTTGTAGAATGACGCAGTGTTATTTGTTTGGGTTTATAACCCCACCTACTCAGTGAGAGTCCAACTGCCGGTAACATACCAATTAGTGGAAATGGGGCATAACTGACAATAAAATGTGGCTTTAACTCTCGGACAATCAAGGTATAAAGTATCAAGTATCAATCAAAGTACAAAAAAGAAAGTATCCAGTTAAAATCTAATCTTGTCTTTAACAAACAGAACCATGTAAAAATTGGACTTAGCATCTGAGATGTGTGTCATTCTTTGATCATATGAAAGTTAGACGTCAAGCCTAGACATTATAAGTCAACAGACTAAGAGTTGGGAACTTGTATTTACCTGCGTGTTCCATTGGTCTAAACCAGTGGTTTTTAACCTGGGTTTGGTCGAACCCCAGGGGTTCGATGAGTCAGTCTCAGGGGTTCGGCGGAGCCTCTGCCGCGGAGGTAAAGACACACTATGCAAAGTCGTGATGACGCCCCGCTTTGCCATCACTTGCTGCAGAGGATCACGTTACATTGCTGAGCCAATCAGAGCTGCGGAGGAGCTCTGATTGAAGGAGCTCCACACTCAGCATGGATTTGAACTTGTGTCTTTAATTACTTCAGCAAAGCTCACCGTTTTTACCAAATTCCGCAGCTTTCGATGTACTTATAAATCTGCTCCTTAGTGCATCTTTTCGGAGTTACTACTGCCTCTAGTGGCGTGGGGGTGGTAACACAACTAATATTACTAAAATTGGAATACTGCAAAGTCTTTATTATTTATTATAAATTTTTCATTCTCTTAAGAAAGTAGAGCTAATTAAATTATCTAAACAAGACCTTAAAGTGGTTCCAGTTTCTCTGTGTCAAATTTTAAATACCTTGGCTCGTTCCTGGACAGTCAGCTCAACTTTGCTGAAAACACTGACTATATTTTGAAGAACTGTTCTCAGAGACTCTACCTTTTAAGAAGACTTAGTGATCTTGGGGTGACCCGACTAGACTCGAGTTGGTGACCCAGCTAGACTCTAGTTGGGTCACCCCAAAGTATTGAATTTGGAGAATTTTTTTTTTTATATATATTTATCTCTACAGAAGGGTTTAGTGAATGCGCATATGAAACTGGTGGGTTCAGTACCTCAAAAAAGGTTAAGAACCACTGGACTAAACTAAGCGTCTTAAACTAAAAAAACTGAAACTGGACCTGGGCTGTAGCCAAAGTCAGAAGAAGAACTCTACAGGGACTTTCAGGAACCTGGAGAACTGATCCAGATCAGATAAAATGATTTGTAAGATGAGTTTCTTCTATCACAGTTTTAGTGCCAACCAGATGCAGATATTCCCTCAGGCTGATGGCGTCTCCAGAAGACCCAATATGAGCTGAGATGATAGGTTTAGTGATGATCAGGTGGATTTGTGCTTTTCTCTCAGAACAAAGCATCGCAGATTGTTCCAGAGTACACTGTGGACCTGAAAGGAGCGTCAGTCCAATGGGCCGCCAAAGACAAGTCCTCCAAAAAGTTTGTTCTGGAGGTGAGGCCACACCAGCTTCTCTGTTGCCACGGTTACAGGTCAGTCGGCTGGGGGTAACTGTGTCATGCGTTTGTGCAGCTGAAGACTCGTCAGGGCTGCGAATATCTGATCCAGTACGACACGGAGAGCATCATCTCAGACTGGTACAAAGTCATCCAGGAAGCCATCCAGCAGCTGACGCCTCATCAGCTGGTACAGCAACACACAGCCAAACTCACCCAATCTGTAGGCAGACCAGCTCCACCTAAAGTCACTTTTAGTTTTGTTGGATCTACCAGCAGCTTCTGGTGCCGTTCATGATGCCTTGTTGGACCACTTAGAACAGGCTGGGCTCCATGTGGTTTACAGCGCCTCACCTCTTCTTTATCCAACCGGAGGTTTTACAGGATTAGCTTTCCTTACCTGTGGTGTGCCTCAAGGGCCCACACTTGGACCTGTCCTTTTCTCTTTCTCTTTGGCTTCCTCATACAGGAATGCAGCTGTTTTTTCTAAGCTGGTTCTCACTGTGTTTCTTGGCCCATTTTAAGCCATTTTTCCAGTCGTGCGACTCATTTTGGGATCAGGTTTGGAATTAATTGTATATTGTACGTCACGTTTTATACAGACGTTACAGGGGGGTAACAAGAAGAAATTCAAGGCTCTCACATATTTGTGTGTACTGAAAATATCATGTAGAGAGTGCCCAGTTTTATCGTTATGCTGATGATACACTGATGTATCTTCCTGATAATGTTCCAGTCCATTGCACCGTCACTAGATTAGAGCTGCAGGACTAAGTAACTCCACTCCTGTGGTTCTTGCATTAATATTACTTTTTGTTTTGCAACTTCTTTCAGGAACCGGAGCATCTAAGCGAAGATGAGGACGACTCGGACAGAGAGGACAGGAAGAGGGGATGTGAGTCTTTCTGAAACTATCCATCATGTTAAAATAAATCCAGCTGCTGGATATAATTCAGATATGGTGGTTCCTTCAAAATAAAAGCTTCTTTAGCTTTAGTTTCTCCCAAAGTTGAGGCCCATGTTTATTTTTCTCCTGTGGTTTTTTTCAGCCACCAGGAGCAATTCAGGAGCAGACTCAGAGCAGAGCCGGATCCGGAGCAAACTGAGACGCTTCCTGCAGAGGAGACCGACGCTGCAGAGCGTCAAAGAGAAGGGATACATCCGAGGTACGGAATGGAACAGAACACCGACCCAGTTATGATCAGCTAACAGGAACATTAGGGGATTTATTATTCTTCCAGATACATTCAGATGCTTTTTAGACTTCTGATGGAAACATCAGGAAGCTTCAGGATTTTTCTTGGTCCTGTTGCTCTTCATTTTAGTGTTAAAATACAATAAACATTTATGTTTCTGCATTTGGTTTATGAAATGTTTATTTCGCGCTGTGACTGAGTGATTTTCTCCTGCAGACAACGTGTTTGGCTGCCACCTGGACGTTCTCTGTCACAGGGAAAACTCCATCATTCCCAAGTTTGTGGAGAAATGCATCAAAACGGTGGAGAGGAGAGGTGATCAATTATAAACCTTCCCAAAAATAAAAATATTCCCTCTTGGATTGGATCGTTACAGCTGATTTTAGAGTTTAAAATATGCTCCTGGTGAAAACTAAGTTCTAGAAATCTGTTACTTTCCCTACCTGATCACTACTGTTTCCCTACAGTTAAAAATAATAAATTCAGCTATAATCAGTGTGAAAATCTAGAATTAATTTAAATAATTTCATGATTGTTTTTCTCAATAGTTCATCAAATTATTTTTCTACCTACTGAAATACATTAAATTCAGCAGCTTGTCACATCATCTGGGTGAAATCTTTACAGAAGATATTAAATAAAAGTTTTAAGATAAATAGATAGTAATAATATAATTACCTAAAATTTATAATAATAATAATGGTAATAATAATAATAATAATAATAATAATAATAATAATAATAATAATAATAATATGACAATGATGACATGAAATTAAAAAAAGTCATATTAATTTACCTGAAGTTACAACAAAAAGCCACCAGAGGGAGCCAGAGAACTTCAAGCTGAGACCCTTCAACCATCCTAACTCAGAAAGCTGAAGTTTGTTCTGTTTTCAAACTGAAAAACAGCATCAGAACTGGATCCAGTTGCCATAGGTTTGGTCCAGGTGGGGACAGGTGTCTCCCGATTGGTGATTTTTTTTCTGTTTTCAAACATCGGGAAACTGTTTTACTTCTATACTGATATTCCATACTGTACCAGTATGGAATATCAGCGGTTCAATCAGGAGGATTTTGCTTTAGCAGAATATGTTTTTATTCTGATCTTTGACCTCACCTTGTTCTCTGTCCCCTCAACATTCCCGTTCCTTCAGGTCTGGATGTTGATGGGATCTACAGAGTGAGCGGGAACCTGGCTGTGATCCAGAGACTCCGACATAAAGCCGATCATGGTAACTAGAATCCTGCTGCTTCTGTCCGAGGGATCCATCAGGCTGGGACAGAAACAATCAACCCAGTTTAAACTAGGTTCTAGACTAGAACAAATATGGAGAATGATCTGCAGGAGAACTTGATGATGCATCAATAGTACCAGGAGTTAAAGTCCAGAAGAAGCTTGAAAACACAGTTGGTTGGAGGTTGTCCTTCTAACTCTGTGGTTGTGTGTCCCTGCAGAGGAACATTTGGACCTGGAGGACGGACAGTGGGAGGAAATCCACGTGATCACTGGAGCACTGAAGCTCTTCTTCAGGGAGCTTCCAGAACCGTTGTTTCCCTTCTGCTGCTTTGACAAGTTCATCGCCGCCATCCGTTAGTTCACACACGCACACACACACACACACGCGCGCGCACACACACACACACACACACACACACACCAGACCACATTCCCAACCAGCCTCCTCATCTGGAGGAGGCTGGTTTGGATTTGTTAATGATCTCATAATTTAACTGATAAATATGAGGAAAAAACTCTTTGAGCTTTATGTTTTACCACACACTGCTTTGTCTAAGACATTCTGAACGTTGCTGATTTGGTAGAATTTTTTTTTATCCTTTTAAGTAACTGAACTCTTCATATTCCCACAGTGAAAACTGAAAAAGAATTAGTTTGTAGTTTTACCTTAAAAGCTGTTAGTGTTTGAGGAACAACCATTGTATCGGATGAGTCCAAACGGACCTCTGGATCCATCTTTGTGTCTGTGCAGAACTTTCTGACTACAGCCAGAGGGTTTCTTACACGAAGGACCTGGTCTGCTCTCTGCCGCTGCCTAACTACGAAACCATGAAGCTGCTTTTCAAACACCTGCGCAGGTGAGCCCAACCGCTCTGAAGCAGAAGCAGAACCAGGATTCCTCTGGTTCTTACCTCCATCTCTGCATGTTTCAGGGTCATCGACCACAAAGACTCCAACAGGATGTCGGTTCAGAGCGTCGCCATCGTGTTTGGGCCCACACTGCTCTGGCCGCAAATAGAGTCCGCCAACATGACGGTACACATGGTCTTCCAGAGCCAGATCGTCGAGCTCATGCTCAACAAATTCAATGAGATCTTCACTGAGACATAGGAGGTGGTCCACTGTCACCTTCCAGAACCTTCTGGCAACATATGCTGAAGTGAACAACAATGTCTCAAAACCTGTAGGACATCAAGCGTATATTCTCTATTAGGGAGGAACCTAAAACCACAGGACTAATACCATCAAAAACTCCGGTTCTGATACTTCTGAAAGAGGTTTCTGTTGAAGAACCAAACCAAGGGGACTTAGAGTCACCTGAACCGCTAAAGAGACATCACAGACTGAGTTCTACTTGAGACTCTAGCTTGGAAACCTCCTGGAAACTGCACACCTGAGAGAAACCTCTAGAACCTTCTGAGGAATATCTGTCAAACTGCCTAGAATCCCCCTTGTAGAACCAAAGTCCAAACAGTAGAAGCTGGAGCGTAGAACCTGAATCGCATTGGAACCTGCTCTAAAGTCACTGGGATCCTTCCAGAACCTCCATGTTGCACTGACCCAAGTTAACAAAGGACAAGTTCTCTTCAGAAATGCACCAGTAGTAGATGGCTGTTACAGCATGAAGCTCATGTTGAAGATCTGCTTCGTCAGGAGGAGGTTCTACACTTTAATGTCAGTTTCATGTACGTAGAGGCCAATAATGGCATGAAGATCAAGTGAACCTATATCTGGAATTTTAAAATTTAAAGGGGATCAGTCAGTTCGGATCATTCCTTTACGTCAGATTTGTGTTTATCCGGATTCATCGTGTTAAACACCGGATCAGTTCAGATTTAATTTCTAAAATGTTTTTTTAATAAAGAATTGTCATTATTCTTCTGGTTTCAAAGGAATCATTTGATCATTTCCAGCGTTTCAACATATCCTGGATTTGGGAGTGGAAACATGTCACTCTTAAAAAGAGACAGAAGATTCATGAAAGTTTGATAAATCTGAGGATGGTGATGTAAATGTTCAGTGGTTCCAAGATGCTTCCCTGAGGGACTCCCAAAAGTCCAGAGAACAAACTACTTTAAATGGTCTATAGGGTGGAGTCTTCCAGGAACATTTCTGCTGTAATGAGGTTTGTTACGGATCTGCTGCATATTTGCTGTTTGTTTTATACTGTTTAAATGTATTAGAGACACGGAACAAGGTAAACACAAAATATACAGTTTCTGTAAATAAAAGGGAATTTTACTGAGTTTTATTATAAATAAAAGTAATTGTTAAACCAGGAATGGTTGTTGTGTCGAATTTAAAAAACTTTTTGGATTCCTTTAAAGATCCGTACCAGACCGGATTTCTTTGGATCTGACTGGAAAGGAGAGAGGAGACTAACTAAAAACACATCTGTGCCAGATGTCCTGCTAAAGTCCAGATGGAAATCAATATCTGATGATAATTGTTCAAGAATGATTTCAGCTTGCATGTTCTCTCTGCACAGGGATGGTTATGGTCCAGATATTCTGGTTTCCTCTTTACACTGTAAAACATCCAGGTTGGGTTAACCACTGGTTTAATGTTGACCCTCAAGCAAAATTCAGTGTCTCCGATTCCATCTGAGATGTAAACAAAATCTGACCATCTTTTAAAAAAACTACTTAATTTTAATAATAAATACAAACATTGAACATGACAATGATGAATGTAAAGTCTCCTCCACATATCAAACCATAGAAAATCAAAATCTGAGTGTTTTATTGAAGAAATTGAACGTTCTAAATTAATTTATAGAAGAATCAGGGTTTTCCCGCCAGTTCTTCGTGCTGTAGTTCTTTTCAACCACCAGATGGCAGCAAAGACCACAGCGGTAGAAAACAAGCGTCGCCATAGAGACGCTTTGTTGATTCCGAGCTTGAACTCAACTGAACACGGAAGAACTGCTCCAGGATTAGTTCACTGTTCTGTCAGAGGACGTATTTCATAACTTTTGACTCTGTGAACCGGTTTTGATTCATTCGACCCACTTCTGTGAACCGACAGGTACTGATTCGACTCAGTTCTGGTCAGATCAGTTAAAACCTGATCCATGATTTTTAGCTTGCACAGGCGTACTGACATCCTGTTAAGTTGGGAATTTGACCGAAGTGCGTCTCTCTTCTCTTGAGTGCGTTTTTCAAGGTAAGTTTTCATTTTCCAATCCTTTTCGTATTGATTCACTTCTTTCACGTCTGTAAATATTAAGTTAGAAAATTGTTATAACAAAATAAAAGGCTTGAAAACATCATTTCAAGTGATAATTTTTTCGAGTCACTAAACTAATAGATATCCTAATTCATTGGATATGGTTGTATGTAACAAATGAACAAGCAATTACAGTATATGTGAGCTGTGATATAATACATGCTGTTTATTGTTACTATATTTCCATTTATACTGTTTTGCATTATGACTTCTTGATGTAAACTGGAATAAGTGTTGATTTAATAACAGGTAATTGATTGATTGATCTTATCATTTATGAACTTCACTGTAATAGATAAAATAATAAACAGACTAATGTAATTTTTTATTTAATTTTTAATTCCTGTTACATTTACAGGTAATAGTTAGGCAGCTTTAAAGCATCATAAATAGTAAATGTGGTCATCCATCCGCTGAACTTTCTTGTGTTGTCCAGGTGTAGTGATGTCACAGCGGGACATCATCGATTTTTCTGCGCTGGAGAAGGAGCTCAAGGCAGCGGTGGAGTCTGAGAGAAAATACCAGCAGGAAAACCAAGCGAAGCTGAGGGCCGTGAGCCAGGGAGTGGATTACGATCAGTTCAGGTGGATCGCCAGGAAGTTTAAGGCCTGGTAGAGAAGATCCAGGAGGGTCTGGGGTGGGATATCAGCGGGAATATGAAGAGTTCTTAATTTCTTAAAGATTCATGGGTCAGTTTACTCTCCTGCAAGCTTGATGGATGCCTGTAAGAATTCCTGGAATCACTTCCTAAATCGTATCCAAGAGTTTTCTACAGAGTTCAGTGAGCTTCAAGAGTCTTTAAAACATCCCAGTGTTCCATAATATAACATGATATTTATTTAAATGAAGGGATCTATCTAAAATACTCCAGGAGGTAAGAAAAACATTTACATTTCTATTGAGGGCTCCTTGGAATGCTTTATGAGAATATATGAGAAAGTTCCATGTTGTCCTGGAATTTTTACAGTCATAAACAGGATAATTGTCCAAATATTTATTGGATGAGTTCCAGGTAGCTCCTCCTGGATCTTCCCAGCTGTAATAATCTATACATTTTTGACATTTCCAGGTTAATGATGTGTGTTTCTTTCCCTCAGAGGTCTGGTACTGACCTCTCACCTGAAGCCTCTGGACAAGAAGGACAGAGACGGAGGTCCACGGAAACAACCATGGAACCCTGTAGCTCCGGGAAACACGTGATGGACCATCACTCCAGGCAGGATGGTCCAATCTCCATCCAGTACAAACTCTGTGGTGTGATCCTGCTGTTTGTTCTTCTAGGTTTATGAAAAGTTTAGCTTCAGGTGTTTTATTTTAAAACATTGATTTGATTTTTATTTGTTTATTAAACACCAAGAACTCCAGATATAAGCTAACAGTTTCTCCTTGAATGTTTCTAATAAACTTCTCATTTTAAAATCTCTGCAGTTTTCCAGGCGTTTTTTATTTTTTATTTTTCAGAGGTTCTTCTGAATATTTCTTCAACCAGGCAGAGTAAGCCAGTAGGGGGCACTGCAGCAGTCACTTCCTGTGTTTGGTATAACTTGGTGATTAAAGTAACTTTAGTTTAACTCTAAGGCTCTCAGAACAGCTGAGAAAGTCGGGTGTCAGGAATCTCTGAGGGCAATTGGGTAACTGAAGTGATTCTGGTGTTGCTTAGGATGTAAGAGAAGCTAAGTGGGTTAAGATGCCTCAGAGAGGCCTTTGGGTATCTCTCAGGGGTTCAGGTATCTGAAGGAGACTCAGGGTATCTCTTTGAGGAGTTCAGGTGTCTCCAAGGTGGGTCTCTCAGACAGGTATCTCTGAAGGGGTTTTGGTGTCTTTAAGGAGGATTCAGGGGTGTTGGGTATCTCTCCAGTTTGTTCAGGTAATTCAGAGAAAGTTTCAGGTAATTTGGGAGAGGGTGTTTCTCAAAAGGGTTTGTGTTTCAGGTATTTTTTAGGGAAGTTCGGGTTTCTTTTAGAGCGATTCAGTCTAACGGGACGGTTATACCTCCTTCATTTGACTAGGAGCATCTTTTAGGAAAGTGTAGGATATTTAAAGGGGTTCATGTATCGCAAAACTAGACTTTAAATATCTCTGAGGGTGATTAGAGGAAGTGAATGGAAAGAAAATCTCCCTGATGCTTCTGATGACTCAATTTGTTTCTTTGAGTTGATGAGGAACAGGAAGTGGTTTAAACTGAGCAGGTTAACATCAAGCGCTAAAACACAGGGAGGAGCACTCACTCTGACCGATTTCTGCAAGCTCATACTTGGTGCTTTGGGTTTTTGTGGTTGCTGTGAGGAGTGAGTGGTCTGTCTAACAGAGAGGATCTCTGGCTGCAGCAGTAGAGGAAACTTGGAGCTGCAAAGTGAAGTTTGTCAGAAACAGGAGGTTCTTCATCACTTCATCACTCTGTTTCTCTCTGGCTTCTGGTGAGTCTCTGATCAATTACAGCTTCATAAATAACTGTTGGAATGTAATATAGAAGATCTGGCAAAGAGCCACAACCCCCTTCTGGTTCTGTTGGACTCTGTAAAGATAATTGTATGTTAAGTGACGGCAGATGAGATTATTTCTGACAAATTTAACGTATTCTATTGGAAAGTTACTTGTATTTGTGTAAGAAGCCTACAGAACCCGGTTTTAAGCTCTTGAAGAGCTAAAGTAAGTCTTAAAATGAAGTAAATGAGGTGGCAGAGTGTTGCTGCATATAGACACTCAGATAGTCCTCAGATAGACTTCTGGGTGAAGTAGTTCCTGAATGTGGTCATATCAGCAGCTAGTGTTCCTCAAACAGAAACAGCCCTAACCCACACTGGTAACAGAGGCTGTCTAACAATCTGCTGGTCCTGCTGGTTCTCACCACTCTGAGGCTCCAAACCCAGCTGATGGTTCAGAACAAAGTCCAGTTTTCCAGCAACCACTGAGCTGTGGTTCTGAGTGGGTTCAGTCTGTCTCTGTCTTCCTGCAGATCAAACCAGTTGATTTCTGTGGACTATCGATTCTGGGATCATGAAGGACCAAAACTATAAGGACGAGGTGACGAAGATTCTGGAGGAAGCTCCAAGTGCCAGGAAAGCTCTGCAGGAAAACTATCAAAACCTGCTCAATGTGGCTGATTACTGCTACAACACCTACACCCAGGTTGGTACCGGTACTGCCACCATTAAAGCTCCAGAACATCTAAATACCGCCTGCTGAAACCAACTGATCATAACCTCTCTGGTCATTTGTACAGCTGTTCTTTGGTTAGAAATTGTGTTAGAGACTCTGAGGACTATGAATATGTGCTTTTAGAGCAGATTTTCCTGAGCTTTCAAACATTGCAAATTGCATGTGTGATAATTTTGCTTAATGGCCATAATTCCAAAACATTTTAGAACCAAACTGAGGAATCATTTAAAATAATGCATGTTACCTTTAGATCCCAGTTCTTGATCTCGTATAAACTTTTATTTTTATTAATTTTTTTCTCTATTTTATATTACAATCACATTCTGTTAAAAAATTAGCATATTTTTATTATCACTGTATTATTTATAGAATTGTTTCAGTTTGTGTAGGTAATTATAGCAGCAATATCTTTCATGATAAGTGTCTCAAATGATTATGCCCAGAGTTCAGTTTATTATTGGATTTTTCTTTGGTTGTATGATTTTTGTGTTCTAAGCTAGGCTAACTTATCTCTTAGTTTTGAGCATTGACAAACAAAAGCTAACACTTTTATTTTTAGTCTTTGTGTCAAGCTAGGCTAACTGTTTTCTTTGCTTCCAGTCTTTGTGTTAATGTAGGCTAATTGTTTTTTAGTTTCCAGTCTTTGTGTTAAGCTGGTTTATTATTTTCCCTTTCCTTTCAGTCTTTGAACAAAGCTAAGCTCACTGTTTGATTTTTGTCATTGTTCTAAGTTGAGCTAACTGTTGTTTTTAGTTTTTGGGCTGAGCTAGACTAATATTTCTCTGGTGTTTCTAACAGTCAGGTGAAAACAGCAAGAAGGCATTGGAGGAAACTAAAAACTTTACCACCCAATCATTAGCCAGTGTTGCGTATCAGATCAGCACTCTGGCTAACAGTGTCCTAAGTCTGCTAGACGCTCAGACCAATCAGCTTCGCCAGATGGAGTCTTCCATAAATCTGATTGGTCAGGTGAGTATAAACCTCTCAATTAAAACACATTATATTTTTAATAGTCTGAGGGTGTTCATGGAATATTTTATCATGTTATTATTTTTGTTTAGTTTATAAAAGGTGTAGACTGGTAAATTAAACATATTTAGAGATATTCTTACAAATTACACATTTTGAAAATGTATTATACATTTACAGAAGAGATTATATATTTTTGAGAAATATTCTCACTAAGTGCATCAGTAGAAGGATTCTGTTCCTCCAGTTGGACTGATATGAGGTTGGAATGAGGTTCAGGGTCCTCCCAGTCATGAGGCTGTTTACAGGGACAGCCTGAGCAACCAGGGTCTGAATGGATGGATGGATGAATGGAGCCTCTGTTTGCTGCTTCCTTATTGTTTTCTGATCTGCTCAAAGCTCTGCTGTGATTTAAGGAGCTGTCCAGAAGCATCCATGATCTAGACCAAGATCACTCTGTGAATGATGGTGTTAAACATCAGGGGGTGCTTTGGAAAGAAGATCAGTGAATGGGGAAAAAAACCCTCTGAAGATGTTTTCTTCTCAGATGTTCACATAAATCTGATCATTTTCTTTTTGTTGTCCTGAGATTTTGGTCTACAACACCCAGCTGGATAATTCTGATGAATGTTTATCTTAAACTGAAAGTTAGTCTTTTGTTCAGACTCTTAGCAAAATATCTTCCTGACTGGTTACAACATCTTCACTCTTCTCTAACTTCTTTTTTATGACCTTTTTTTATGACCTTTTTAAAGAAAAATCTGAAAAATGTATTGCCCTTCTGTCATTAGTTCATGTTAGAAACCATCATTATGCATAACCTTTGCCATAAGCTGAGGCCTAACCCTGAGGTTAGGTCACAAGGTTGCCCAACAGATAAGTTTCAAGGTAGCTACCCTGGTTAGCTTACTCTAGTCTTTGTATCAATGTTCCTGTGATCTAATTCAGAGAATGGTTGTTAGTGTGAACCTCCCACCCTTACCATGAGACAAATTTGACATCTGACACCTAACATGGGACGAAGCCCTGGATCTAGCCACTTCCTGGATCACTGGAGTGCTTCCCGTTGGGTTAGTGGTGACTCTTTGCCTCAGTTGGAAGAGAACCTGGGGAGATCTGGATTCACTAATTCATCCAGTATTGAGAAATGGATCATGACAAAAGAACTAATACAAGCACATGGGTTGACCTGGGATGAGCTTCTGCTTTAGGGTAACTGGGTTGTGCCTCATAAGGGGTTGAGATCCATCAGTTGGGGGTCCTTGGAGTACAACTCCTCTGCATTAACATGAGTCACTTAAGGTGACTCATTTTGTGAAATGAGTTTCCCTTCTGACCTGGGAAAACCTTGGCAAGTCTGGGTTCCCTTCCAGGACCGCTAACCTCCAGGATCCTCCATGATCTTGACTGGGATGGACAAATGGGTTGTCATTAATTGTCTGACAATGTACCAGCTGATCGAAGGGAAGGTGTCTTTTGCTGTGACCTCTTTTGTTGTGACTGCTTCCTTAAAATGAAGATGAGACTAAACTTCCTTATGAAGTTTGATCACTTCAGCTTTTCAAAGTCGTGTCTGCGTTTAGTCAAACTTTGAAGGGAAAGTTCAATAGTACCAGAAGAAACTCCTCTCCAGAGTTAAGACTGACCCTCTCTAGTCATGGTTGTAGTTCAAAATATTTAGACAGTCTCTAATTGCTTTTCCACAGACCATTGAAATGCATAAAGAGAAAGTTGCACGGAGGGAAATAGGTGCCTTCACGGCAGTCAGACGAGTTCCTCGCAACCATAAGATCATCCCTCCAACTGGCACACAGCCCCGCCCATCGTACAGCCGTCGACCAATCAACTACCAGCAGCTGGACGAAATCGGCCACGGCATGAAGGTAGCACTCACCTTCACAGTTTAATATTTTTGTTTGATCTTTGGCAGCTCTTCTAGAGGAGGTTAGCCTAAATCTTATTGTCTCGGATAATTTACTACAGGGCAAGAGGGTTAGTCCAGTTTAGGCTGGTTGATGGGAATCAGCATTCTGGTTATTAAAAGATACACAAAGCAACATTTACACCCAAAAAGAAGTAGCTGAAAGCAGAAGTGAAGCATCGTTAGCTGCAAACGGCAAGCTAACAGGAAGTCTCTTCTGCACAGAACCACAGAAGCAGAATTAATGCTGCAAAAAAGTTCCCTTTTCAGACTTCAAATGAGACATCTCTGTACAGATTTATCTGTTTCCGTTTGAAAATTAACAAACATTGTCAAAACTACGCAGCAGCAAAACTGATACAGCTTAAACATCTCAGTAA